ACCAGACAACTAAATCAGGCAACAACAGACAGACGGAAGAGTTGAAAACAGAAATTATGGAAATGGAGACTTTAAATCAAGGGATCATTCATCGTGTGAGTCAAACCAGAGAGAACCAAACAGCTTCAGAGTGTCCTTAAGGTGTGGACAGAATCAGTCTTAGCTGATGAAAAGCCAACCAAGAAGTTCTTCCCTTGACGCAAAGCAGGGATCGCCTTTCTCTCGCCTGGTTTCACAGCTCTGCTAAAAACACACCCTCACACATGTTTTCATTAAGATGCCATAGGGCTTCATTTCTCTCCCTACCCTTTGCTGAAAGTTGAAGTTCAGCTAAATTAGTTTAACTTCATCAGAGTAATGATGAATCAGAATCTTGATCATAATCTGAACTGATGTAAGCCTTCTGTGAAGACAACCAGGCAAGATAAAGTTTAAATACGGTGCCTTGCAGAGCTATTAATTCATCCTGGACTTTTCACTTTATAGTTGGCCTGTATTGTATGTCTTTTCATTGTTAGGTGATGGATTAGTCAGTTTTCTGTAAAATGTTCTCCTTCTCAAAAGTTGTATTTTACACGAATACATAGATCTGATGTGCCTTGCCATAATTTTTGTCCAGGTCTAATTTGTTAGTTTTTTTTTTTTAATTATTCTGTTGAACCTCAGTTCAAAAGCAAAGTCTGATTTTTATTGGTTGTCAGTAAATTTCCATGCATTGTTAGTTGTGTCAGTTTCAGTTTTTTCAGTTGTTTGCATTAATGGCTTTTTGGTCATTAACACAGTTTCGTATGTCTGTATGCATTGAAGTTTGTGGTTGTAATATGACAAAATGTAAAAAAAATTTTAAGGAGTTTTAATATTTTTGTAGTACACTGTACTTGTCTGGCTATCAGACTCAAATGTTTTTATTGGTGCAATTAGAACATTTTCTATAACAGTTCTGCTGTTAGACCTTCTAAAGAAAAGCTTTTCCTCATCATGATGCTGTCATAATGGGGATGGTAGAGATAGAAGGACTGGTGCTTAATAAAACCTCTCCACAACTTTATGCCTGACCTTTTTGGTGTTTTTCTTGTTCACTAAAATTCTCCAGCGACTCTATTAGGACTTTTGCAAGCCATCCAGGTTTGTATTACACCACAGGTTGACTATCTACCCTAATTAGGTGACAAGTAACAAAAACTGGATTCATTTAGGATCACCAAAGTAGCAGTTATAGAAAATAAATGTATGTGAAAAGCATTTATCATTTTCCTTCTGAACATTCTTGAGTTGCTCCATCATGCAAAATCCCACAGAGAAAACCTCCAATAAAACAAGAGCTGCTTTACCTCCTGTAGAACCATAGAAAGAACCAGGATGAAAAGAGCAGTTCAAGAAAACTGAACTTGTAAAGCTAAATGAACTGTATTAAAATTTAAACGTTTCATTAAACATTAATCAGAATTTAGTTTTGATATTAGCAGCCATATCTGTCATGGGTTTTCACTAAGATACAGAGCTGACAGCAAAGAGCAGCAGCAGCAGCTCTGTGTGATGGCCTTAATTGGGATGCTGATGATTTCAGTATTCTGGGAAAGCCTGCCCACTACTGCATGGAAAGCAGAAAAGATGTCAATGACTGGAAAGTCTTGTTTCACAGCAGTTTTATAAGGTCAGTGTTGAGTAAAGGAGTGGAAAATAGAACTGCTCAGTTTAGGACGACACCCAAACTAAAATCAAAATTTTAGGCAATTTTGATTATGTCATTTCAGCTCCACTGAAAATTTTGTGCATTTTCAAAATCTGAAAAAAACTCCACCAAAGGTAGAAACTAGAGAAGCAAGAAACTTCTCTTGAACAGCCTATTTTTAAGACATTTTCTCAAAGTGAGACTAAGGCATCAGTCATTACGTCGATCATGCGACTTCTGTGTGCTCTCATTACTTGACAGATTCCAGCAGACCTGGTGGATTTAGTTTCAGTGCAAAGAGGCAGGATGGAAGGCAGCAAGAAGGGTGAGAGTAAGAGAGAGCCTGGTTACAGAGGTCACAGGAACAGAGAGACCCAAGGAATGAGTTAATAGCTACTCCAGTAATGTGTCACAGAAAAATAGCTTCAGGGCCTCAAGATACTAGAAAATACCCGGCTGGTACATCAGACATAGCTGTACCTTTTTAATACTGTTACGTAGTCATGTAATGGTAAAATCAGCTGTCTTTCTATGAGGACCATATCACGTATCACGGTTCACTCGCTGAAAATTGTGTGTCACAAAGTTCAAGAGACTATAAATAATCAGCTCTCGATGTAAAAACGGGATCAGCTATCTTGTGATTATCTTCTCTGTCATAAAGGAGTTTGTAAGGGCTTTTCTTCCCACGAAATCTGGGTGCAGGTCTTGATTTTGTTTTACTGAGTGGTCAGTGGTGAGTTCAGCCGTGTCATTATGGCCTGTATGTGTGTACATCTGCGCATAGATGTGAGCAGGGTGTGCCCTGGGAAGGCAGAGCTAGGGCCGAGGCGGGTTGGGTTTGTCAGACCGCAGAGCTCTGGTGCTGCTAAAACACACCTCCCACTGACGGACTCCCTCCATTACACCACTGAGGAAACGGGAGCAGGCAGTGGGAAGGAAACCAAGTGTGTGAGCAGCTATAATGACAGAGGCAAAGTCTGGATCTCTTTTGAGTAAAAGAAAGAAATCTCATCACCTTATTATGTAAACCAAGTTTATTTTAACTTGCTGTGTATCACTCCACCTCTTGTTCAGATCCAGTTTCCCACCGACCCATGTGCCTTTGGCAGAAAGCTGTTTTTTTTTTGTTTTTGTTTTTTGCCTTGCTGGCATGTGTTGTGTTTCCATTACAAATGTGGGAAATCTTTCAATTTATTTTATTTTATGGTTCATAAACACTAACGTTATCGTTATAAGGACTGTTCTGCATGACTGGTCAATTTGTCACTTCTAAGGAGAAGTCGTGTGTTTGTCCTCACTTTGTAAGATAGATAATTGGCTACAATAACTGTTTCTTTTACAAATGTCTGCAAAATGTTGTCGATATTTTGTTTTGTCGAAAAAAGCACGTTAGCAATTGTGGTGATTCCATTAAATAATATTTTTAGAATTGCAATTAAAATCACATGTGAATAAGTTCATGCGATGAGTCATTAAAAAAACACATTGCGCCATCATCCTCCTATCACTTCCTGTTGTCTTCTTTGTGTTTCTGGCAGTAGTAACATTTGGTTTTGGCTCATGTGACTTATGTGATGCTAAAAAAGTGTTTCCATTGCACTTCTACATATTACATTGGGATTTTGTGTGATGGGAAAAAAGTAGTGCTTTAGAAAAGGAAAGAGGGGAAACTGAAGATATTTGGCTGGAGTTCAGGGTTGTTTTCCAGGCCTGAAATCTCCCTTACCTCCCCAAATGTATAAACTACAAAACAAGACACTTAAGGTCTTTAAACAAAATATAGCTTTAAGCACACTTAAGATTTTTAGCAATATCCCAAGCTTCTTTTGGAGCACTGTTCAGTCTACTACCACATCTCCAAAATAACAAGGAGTTGTTATGGTGGCAGCATTGTGTTGTGGGGATGCTTTTTGTAAAGAAAGTACAGGAAAGCTTCAATGAAATGATTCAGATCAAAGCATATTTATGTATTTAAATGGCCTAATCAAAACCTACACCACCCCAGATGTCTGACAAAAGTTGAAAGCTGGTGTTCCTGCACACTTGATATGAACAAAGTGAGTTTGAGCTAATTGCAACAAAGAAATGCAAAATGTGGGTCTCTGTATGTAGCAAAGACATTCTCAGTAGCTTCTACAAAGTATTGACCCCATAAAAATGCTTTGAAATATATATTTTTTTTACATTATAGCCCAACTTCTTGATGGAATCTGAATGAGGTGCAATAAAGTCTGTGGCTATGAAGTAACAGAAAAGTAATATAGTTCAAGGGGTATGAGTACGTTTGAAATCAGTATACATAATGAAAATGCACAGTTTCTTAATATGGAATCCAGATCAAAACAGAAGGAAAAGTAAAGAGAAATTACGAGGGGGGCGGGGGGGAGTCGGATGAAGGTATAACGATGTGTAGGATGTTGAGAGGTGATCAGGCGCAAAAGAGACAAGAGGGAGATGAAGCTGCTCTTTAATCAGTGAGGGGCCACATGGAGGCGGGCCGAGGTGCCCACTGTAATCCGATACACGCTCACGAGCGCACGGCGGGCACGCGCGCCGAAACAGGGTGAACTGAGTGAGCAGTCCCGTTCACTGCCACAAACCCGGAGGAGACCGGTGGGGAAGGAGCGCGCTGCCGGAGCCTGCCTGCCGGGAGAGAGAGACACACACAGAGGCACACGGGCTGCTGCTGCTGCTACTGCGCGTAAAGAGGAGGAGCGGAGGGAGTGGACTGAAGAGCACAGGGCTGCAGCGGAGAGACGCACAGCTTTCAAGGAGGAGGAGAAGTGGAGACGAACCACGTTTATTTTCTCCGGAGCAGTTTTACGCACGGGAACTGGATCTGCGCCTTATGAGAAATACATTTTTCATTGGCCTGAGAAATAACTGCTGTTGGGGCTGAACATAAAAAGGGAACATTAAAAAATGAGAACCTGCCCTTTTTCAGTAGAGTTGTAAACGAAGGTTTAAAGATATGTTTGCAGACCACTTTTTGTTTTAAATTTTCGTTGTTTTCTTACACTCCTTTTGGTTCGACTTGAACACCAAGTTAGATTTTTGTTTCTTTTTCTTTTTAATTTGAGTGTCTCTTCTGTCCACGACCTGCTCCAACACACGTTTTGACACTCTGTGGGACACCCTTACCCGGACTGTGCGCACCAACATGGATTTCGCTGGGATAAAACCGTGTTTGCAGTTCAAATCCTTCAGATTTTATGCTTTTGTGCTGCATTAACTGCGGTTTTGTGGCGAAAAGAAGCAGTGACAATAACTCACATGAACTGTGTAAAAGAGCCAAAACCGTATTTCTTGGAGAGCTGCAACCCGGCGTTTGGATTGTGATTGTTAACCCTGAAGGCACTGTGGGAAAAAGACGGGGAAGTTTATTACCGGAACACTTTATTTTTAATACAAACCAAATAAACCAAAAAGAAAGGAGAGTGCTTTTCATTTTTCTTCTGGTTTCTCAACACCTTGAGGGAAAAGATGGATTCATATTTATGGTTGTGTGGATGTATTCTGCCGCTTCTTTTGCCTTCAGCAGTAAAAGCTGACGACGGAGGTAAGTTTGACACCTTTGTCTCCCGCGTAAATCCATGTGTCTCCCTCGGGTTTACATGATGATCTAACCGCTCTTTTGAAAGGGAGTGTGAGTTAAAAGACACAAAACAAAACAAAACAAAACAAAACTCCTTTGCGATCTGTGAGGCATCACAAAATGGTATGAAATGAAAGTCAGTTGTGATTAAAATTCATTTCTTACAACACATCAGCCTCCAACTCATTTAAAATATGGTTTTTGTAACAGAATTGTCTATTTAGTATTGTTTAGTATAACTTGAATACAATTAAGAGGGAAGTCGTCTATTTTTTTTTATTATTTTTGTCTCTTTCTGTTCCAGTGCAAACAGTTTGCACCGCTACATCATAGAGACATAGAAGTAAAATCTCAACCTTCATCTGTGATCAGTTATCTGAATAACCTGTAAGCCATGATGAGGCTGGTTGTTCCCGTCCACTGCTGCTCTCAGCGCGTCCAGGATTGGACTGTGCGCTGATCTTGAATGGCATCTTCTTCCATCTAAGATGCCCGACTAAAAAGAGAAAACCTGACTCTTTTTAGTCGGGTTTTCCCATGTCGCCAATAAAAAAAATAAATAAATAAAAAAAAATCCACCACAACATAGCCTTTGGAGCGAGTGGTGCTGTCAGCGTTCACATCCTGATGAGAGTTTTACGTCCTCATTTGTGCGGACGCGATCTTATTCCTCGAAAGTTATCCCAAGAGTCTGAAATCTGAACGGCAACTTTCAAAACTTATTTTTCAAATCTGGAGCCACTATATTCATTTTCACAGCCAGGTCTGCAGAGAGGTGCTGGTGAAGCTGGCTGGTTTTACTGTCTCCTGCTGGCGGGGGTCAGCTGAGCTCCGACACTGCTTGTCTGGTCTTCAAAGCTACTTCGACTCCCGAATTTCACTTTTTTTTATGCACAGTCGTTTCTGAGAGGTGCAACCCAACCTCTGCTTATCAGACACTTATAGTACGTGCGTGCATTTACCGTGCATCTTCACGTGTACATCGTTTTACGCACAACGAATCTTACGCACCAGATTTCCAGCTCCGAGCAGCTTTGCTGTCCACATGATATCAGATCAGTAGCCACTTGTATTAGTCGCTCTGCTTCTACAGGTGTGAACTTTTTATGCGCTTTAGAGTAATGGAAAAAAAATCAATTCAGCGGGGAATAAAAAAAAACTGCTTCATTTGAGATTACGTATGAGTAGATTTTTATCTATTTGGTGATAAATTTGAGTCTTTCAAAACGGACTCTTTATGATAAGGCTTTCAGGTTCATGTGCGTAACTATGGAGAAACAAGTCGATTGTTGTAGAGAAAAACCTTTCAGTATTTTTGAAAGTTTTGTTAGTTTAAAGCTCCGTCAGAGGAACTTTTAAGGATCTGAAAACTTTGGTACCCCGTCTGTCAATTTTTTTTAAGTTTAAGTCAGAATTTACAGAATCCTTTAATATGCTTAAGGTATTAAAACTCATCTGTTTTGATATAAATTTATTATTTTCTCACCATGCTTAGATATAAAACATTCTTAACTTATTAGAAAAAAAATACATACATTTTCTGTTTTCCTGTAAAGGACCTGTTGTTAAAAGCCTTTCTGGCTGAATTAGAGAATTAGAGACCCCCGATTTGGCGCGATCCAGATTTAGTTTTCTATGTACTGTAACACAAAAAGATTACAAATACAAATATACAAAATAGGGCTTTGAATCCAACTAGGGGGAAAAGAGGGACTTTCTAGGTAGTTTGTGACACTTATTACTCAGCATGCTTTTGACTGAGCTTGTGCTTGTTTTGGATGCGTTAAATGAATAGGGTGGGAGGGGGAGGAATTCTGATTTCTCATTAGATGCCCATCATAAAGGTAACAATGGCCGATTTCTGGCACACTGACTTCAACTGGAAACAGAATATCTGCTGACATTAGATGAAACTTTTCCCTGTAGCTTCCCTCCAGCTCTCCCCCCGTGGCACTCAGCTGAGCATCCAGATCTTCTGCAGGATGAAGCTTCCTCAGCACTAAACTTTTAAAGATGCCTTTCCTTTACTGCTTCCCGAGAGATGAGCGAGGAAGGCACAGAGAGACGTAGAAGTGTGTATATATATATATATATATATATTTATATATTTATATGTAAATATAAAGCAGGAGGAGATGGAAGTAGAGAAAAGAGGAAGTAACAGAGACGGAAACAGACACGGGGAAGCAGCAGTAAAGAAGCGATCCTAACGGAAGAGAGATTTTTAGCCTCGATGTTTGATCCTGTTTCTTCATTCCGTTTGATCGCAGCTGCGCCTGGAAGGGAGATAAACGGACATAATTGGCCACTCAAGACCAGCTGTCTGCCTCTATAGTGTCTCCACTGAAATATGCTGGATGATGAAACAGGATCACCGCCATATACAGTGTTAGAAGTGCTCCAGCAAATTGCCCACAGGTAGAACTCAGGCTTGAATTATGTTATTAATATAATTGATATGATTGCTCCCACCCAACTTAGGGCCATTTTATAAGTCTAAAGTGGACGGGGAGCAAGCAACTCCACATACATACATGAGCTTCTTGTGTTGCAAAGTGCTCGGGTGTTTCATCTGTTTTGAGTTGGTTTCTTCTTGTATTGCAGCTGTAAAATACCCAGAGCAATTATTTACTGCCACTTTGGCTTAAGGAAAACCTTTATGATCAGTGTTTAATATGACCTCAAGGTTTAAACCTACTTGTGGGTTCAGTTTGTTATAATTAATTATTACATCAGGCTGAGTCAGAGGGCTCTGTAAGCCATCAATAAAACAAATTATCCATTTCACTTGTTTGCCTAATGAGCTTTTGCCCATTTTAGCGCCCTGCCACAAACATACAGTGCTTTTCCAAAGACACCCTTTATGTAATTTGCCATGTTACAGACGCCAACTGAAGTGAAATTTAGTAGGATTTTTAGGATTTTTAAGCCTTTCAGCGCCAAACTGGTGTTATTGCTGGATTTGGATTTGTCTTTATTCTTTGCTTTGATTCTTCTGGTTTTGGGTTATTTTTGTGTTTTGTTCTGATTATTATTATTATAATTAGCCAATGTTGTTGTCTTTTTAACTCATGTCCTCTCACAGCTTCTGTGAATTAAGTGTAACACACTTGACCTTGGTCCCACTAATGGTCTCCCCAGCATTTAAAAATCCCTTATTTTCAGTCAGTTCTTTGCCAGTTCTCTGTTCTGTTGCAATGCATCCTGTTCTTCTTCTGTTCCTCACTGGCTTTGGTCTCTCTTTTGTGTTTTGCACATGTGCTTGTAAATTTGCTTCATTTTGTTATTCCCCTAAAGTTCCCCAACTGGAATGATTCATGACAAGTAGCGTATAATTGTGAAGTGGAATGAAAAGGATGGTTTTTAAAACTATGCAAAACAATCTCTTTTTTTGGATACCAGTTTTGCACATCTAAAGACAGAGATTTCAAAATTGTCTTTGGAAATAAAAACAAGCTCAATTAGTGTGCATAAACAGCAGTGGGCCTTTGAATGCATGAATAGTTTCAGATGTTTTGCACCCTAACAGGATTTATTTAACCTGGTTTAGCTCTGTCCAACTTCCAGTAAACCTTAACCAACTTCTATGCACCTATTGCATGATACTGCCGCCGCTATGTGCCAAAGCGTATTGTACAGTGTCAGCTTAGATGAGTGTAGTTCTGTGAGGTATGTTCATAGCCTGGGGAATTGTCTTATAGTCTAAACCTGCTTTAAAATTCAGCTCAACATTATCTCTTGTTGAGCTGACATACAAAACATGTTGTATATCAGTTTTCATGATGTTGTATTCCCAAAAATGTTTTTTTTTTTTTTTTTACTAAGCGAAAAAAGCAACAGGTTGTATTGAATTTTATTTAGAGGTATGACAATAAAACTAGCTAATTTGTTCTCATTTTTGAGGGTTTTATTTATAAATCACATTGAAGACCTAGACTTGTTTTTACTAATATTCTCCACTTTCAGCCAATTTTCACTCAAAAGTTCAGTAAAAACATTGACATGGAGATGTAATGTATAAAATGTGGAATAGTTCAAGGACATGAATGCTTTCGCACATCATTCATCTCCTCAGAGTTTAGCTGAAAATGCTGAAAACATTCCAGCCCTTTGAATTGAATTTGGATAAATAATTTCAATAATTTTTGATTTAAGGAGGGCTTTTAACACACAGTAAATGAAAATATGTTCCACATAGACAATTAGAAGGTGAAATTAGAAGGCGTTTCTGTATGCATTGCATATTTCCCTGGATATCTCGCAATTGTCTCTTGAGATGTTTTTCATTACGGCTGCATTGTCAGACGTGTTGATTCACAGGTGCAGAGGGTAGGAAGGCATAAAATACAATCTATTTACAATGACTTACCTGGAGGAATTGTCAACTTTGCTCCCAACAGAGCGCACCGAAACAATGGAGCAGTAAAAACAGAGCGTGAGGGAAGGAGGAGAAAATATAAGTAGCGTGAAGAATCTTGAGTGTTTCAGGGCATAAAAGAGGGAGTTAAAGGGAAGAAACAGAGGCAGGGGGAGAGGAAGAGAGAGTGGGAGTATTATAGGGCGTTAGAGTAACAAGAGGAGAGCAGCTGGGTGTGAAGCAGTAGTTGAGTGGAGCCACCTGCAGTAAACCAATCCAGATTTATTCCTCTCCTCTGCTGAGCTCAGGAGGGTTTCTGGCCAAGGAAGGGCATTAAATACACTCTGATTATGATGTATGGAAGGTGGAAGACTCAGATTTATGCCTAAACATAAGATTTAATTCACATTTTCATCCAATGGAGCCTATTATTTACAGGACTACTCATCATATTTCTACTGTTTACAGGTAGCACTTTCTTTATGTATAGTTTTGTCATTAATTATAGTTTTTGCAGAAATGAGGGCAAAATAAACATTTCTACATTTCAGTGAAAATTGGGTTCAGGTCATTCTGTGCTACAACTGAGTGAGCAGGTGACTCTTTG